TTGATTGGATTATATAAAAGATCCAATTTGAGCTGTTATTAAAAATTCTGAGACACAGAAAAAACTACTCTCAGGCTTAAAACATACCCCTAAACTTCTAAGCTATCTGCTGACACACAGCATTGTCCCACTTGACAGTGCTATATTTACAGCCTGAAATGATGATGGTTTTGGTGGTGATTTTTCATGTAGGAAGTCACACTAACACCCCTGAGCCACCTGCATATATCTTAAAGCTAACTTTTCCCCTACCAAAAAAATGATTCTGTTTAAGACTTTAAAAAAGAGAGATCCTGAATGTCAAGGTGTTATAAAAAGATAAAACATGCACCCCACATGTTCACAGCCTCCTGCCCAGTGGGGCATTCAGGGCAGCCTTTGTTGAGCTAGTTCCATTATTGGAGGGCTTGATAAATGCTCCACTATAGCAGCTTGGAGATTTCTTTTAGACTTATGCTGTGAAGTCACTCAAGTACAGAATATCATTATATGGCTTTGTTATTGTGACTTTTTTCTAATTTTTCAATTACACATTATTTTAGGAGTTAGGGAGCCCATGGTTTTAGCAGTAACTCTCCACTACATAATAAAATTACATGGATTTGAGTCAGCTTTTTGCAAACTGCAGAGAGTTCAAGAGGGTTATCCTCTCACCTTCTCAACCAGGAGTCTTAGTTTCTTCAGTTATAAAGTGAGGAGCCAGGATCAAAGCTTCCCTCTTATCCTTTCTAGTTCCAAACATTCTACTCAAAATGTGGCGCAGAGCGTTTACAGTCTAACACTCATCTGTGGACTACCTGTTAGAGCTCTTGCGATTGCCAGTAGGTTGAGCAAGCATTTTAAAGTCATTAGATAGTTTTGGCATCAACTTTCTGATGAACCTTCATAATTCTGGGGCAGGAAAATCTACAATAGTCCTCCCTTATTCGCAGTTTCAGTAACCCACAGTCAACTGCAGCCCAGACATAGTAAACAGAAAATTCCAGAAATAATTCATTAAGTTTTTAGTTTCATACTGTTCTGACTAGTGTGATGAAATCTTGTGCCATCTCACTCTGTCCCACCCAGGATGTGATTATGCCTTCGTCCACAGTGTCCATGCCATACACGATACCTGCCCACTCATCACTTTAGTGGCTATCTTGGTGATCAGACTGAGTGTCATCGTATCTCATCACACAGGCATTTTATCATTTCACATCAGCACAATAAGGATGTTTATAGTGCAATAAGATATTTTGAGAGTAAGAGCAAGAAAGAGACCAGTATATTGCTATAATTGTTCAATTTATTATTGGTTATTTTTAATCTTTTACTGTGCCTAATGCATATATATATATATTTTGAGACAGGGTCTCATTCTGTTTCCCAGGCTGGAGTGCAGTGGCACGATCTCAGCTCACTCCAACCTCCGCCTCCCAGGTTCAAGCAATTCTCCTGCCTCAGCCTCCCAAGTAGCTAGGATTATAGGTACTTGCCACCACTCCCAGCTACTTTTTGTAATTTTAGTAGAGATGGGGTTTCACTATGTTGGTCAGGCTGGTCTCAAACTCCTAACCTTGTGATCTGCCCACCTTGGCCTCCCAAAGTGCTGGGATTACAGGCATGAGCCACTGTGCCCAGCCTAATTTATAAATTAAATTTTAGCATAGCATAGTATAGTATAGCATAGTATAGAAAAAAATAGCGTACATTATTTCAGGCATTCACTAGGGGTCCTGGAACCTATCTTCCAAGGATGAGGGCAGATTACTGTAGCTAAAAATTCATTTTAAAATTTACAATAATAAGTGGGCTGCTAATGAAGTTAAGGGCGATGAAGGAGAATTTGCATCCTTTTGCAAGAATGTCTACTAACCTTCCATTACCATCATTTCTTCTTCTCTCTCTTTTTTTTTTTTTATTTGAGGGGTCCCACTCTGTCACCCAGGCTGGAGTGCAGTGGCATGATTACGGCTCACTGCAGCCTCAACCTCCTGGGCTCAGGTGATCCTCCCACCTCAGCCTCCTGGGCAGTAGGGACTACAGACATGCACCACTAGGCCCAGCTAATTTTTGTATTATTTGTAGAGATGGGGTTTCACCATGTGGCCCAGGCTGGTCTCGGACTTCTGGGCTCAAGCAATCCTCCTGCCTCAGCCTCCCAAAGTGCTGGGATGACAAGTGTGAGCTATCATGCCTGGCTCATTTATTCTTTAAGAGAAAAATTTACTGCAGAGACATTTGTAATGAATCAGTGACATCAACAAATAATACTAACACACCTCAACACCTTCTTACCAAACAGAAGAGAGAATGGGATCACTCTTCGTGCAAGAAAGGATTCTTTACAGAAAGTTTCATGTTAGGGTTTCCAAAAGCCCCCTTGTACCCACTCCCCTGGTGGACACTTAACTTTCAAGGCAGCTGTCCACTGGGAAGGAAAGCACTTCTGCATTGAATTTGCTTTAATGTCTTATACTTGATAGAGTTACTGACATTGTTTTACGAGGAAGGTATAAATTATAAGTAAATGAAAATATATACGTGCTAAGATTTTAGTCTATGATTGATATCAAAATGGCAACTTGAGTAATTAGATTTTGAAAGTAATTCATGTGAAAGCAATAATAACTAAAGTTGGGAATCTGCCACTCGATTATTTAATTTCTTTCTCTTGCTCTGACTATAAATCAAAATAGTCTCAAAATTGTAGGCAGTGAAAACTGAATTAAAAAATTCCTGGAGAATTCAGATTCAAAATAAAATAGATTATTTTTGTTGTTGTCATCATTTGGTTTTAGGAAACCATCATGAAGTAAATAAGGATGATATGAATTTCAGGACTATTAGTGGAGTTGTTAGGAAATGTGGTTCTGGAAGAATATTTGTGCTTTGTGAACGATTTTAAAACTTACTGGTATATTATGGAGCATGCCAATGCCTTCTCACTGCCACCCTGATTTAGTTCATGTCACCATTTGATTTTCTGTTTGCACCTCTATCTCTTCTGCTAGACTGAACTTTTCTTAGGCACGGATGTGTCTTACTCATCTTTAGTTTGTCAGAGGCTAGCACTGTGTCACTGTGTCATATATTGCATACAGCAGGCATGCAATATATGAGGGCACTCAGTAAAGTTCTACTTACTTCTCTCTAACCCTCCAAGTCCTTTTTACCACCTCAGTTCTCTTGGTCCTTTAATATCCAGTGCTCCCAGGAAATCTCCCAGGATCACTCAGTTAGATGCAGCACCTCTCTTCCCCAAACCTTAAACTCACCAGTGAACCTATAGCCTTCTCTTCAAGGATATCAAACCTTAAAATGCACCAGTGAACCTACAGCCTTCTCTTCAAGGATATCAGAATGTGATTCCATCAGGGCATAGACCATATCACATCTTTCTCTGAAACCTACTGTGGCATCTAGCAGAGTGCTCTGAATACCAGGAGAGTTTAAAAAGGCACTGGTTCAATAAACTCAGAATTTTATAACTAGAAGGACTTTGGGGGTCAACTAGTATAGTGGTTCTCATCAAGGGATCTACCACCTTTTAGGAGGCATTCTGAAAAACTGAGGGGGCATTTTTAAAAGTTAGCAAAATGATTGTGTGTTGGGGGTGGGGTTGGGGGCCAGGATGCTAGATGACTTGCAATCCTGGGAATGTTGTTACACAACAAAGAATTGTCCTGTGTCCTGAACTTTCTCATGTTCTCCTGGACATTCATGATTATTTAAAAATATATATAATTATGTGAGTCTAGACAGTTTTGCTATGGATTTCCAACATTTGGTTGGATTTCCAGGATTCAGCTATTGCATAATTTAAAGGAAGATGGTACTTTATGATGTTTAGAACTTGATTAAGAATTTTTCACCCAGTGGAAAACCACATCAGCAGTCATGATATTAGAGTTGACGCCCATTACCTGAAGTCAGACTGCATTTGTAGCAGGTGCATTCACAGTGAGTCCATGTTACATACAAATATACTTATTGAGCTCTTACTGTACATGTCAAATCTAAAAAAAACAGTGTCTACAATATCCAACTGACTACTGCCTTACTTCATTTAATTGCAAAGTGATTCATTATAAGTGGGTGTGAAAATCTGGCCTCTTTATTGAGCTTTCTATTTTAGTTCTTCCTGAATTTCTTATATTTTTATTTACTGAAAAGCTGTTTCTAGGTAGGTTATATTATGCAGGAATTTTATTTTAAGATTTGTTCTAAAAATGGGGCATTGGGTCAGATAGTATTGAGAAGCACTGATCTAGTAGATTCCAATACAGTTTCCTTATTTTTCAGAAAACAAATGGGACCCTAGAGAAGAAATGAGGCATTCAAAGTCAAATAGTGGATTAGGAAGTGGCCTTTTAAAGATTAATAAATGTACAGCTATAGTACAAATAATTAATGTTCCAGATTCTAACACCCTGGAAGATTATGTTCTGTCACATCATATAAAAAATACCAGCAGTTCAAATAATTTGGTCTGCCCTTTCAAAAGGAAAACATTTAATAACATTTCTTTTTGTCATTAATTATTCCTTCACTACTCCAGGTGAATTCTAGTGAAGGTATCTATATAGAATATTTCTTTAAACTAGAGTTTCCATTAAAAAAACCCTCTCACTGGCCAGGCATGATGGCTTACGCCTGTAATCCCAGCACTTTGGGAGTCCAAGGCAGGACCACTTGAGTCCAGGAGTTCAAGGCTGAAGCTGCAGTGAGCCATGATCACACTACTGTACTCCAGCCTAAANAAAGAAAGAAAGAAAGAAAAAAAGAGAGAAAAAAAATCCTCTGACTTGGTGTACTGATAGATTGAGCATTTATTCTCTGCCCTGTTACATTCCTCTTCACCCCCTATCCTGGCTTCTGGAAGGCTGAATTGTACACATAGCAGAAAAACAATCTTCTATTTTCAACAGAATCAATAGTAGCCCCAATGAGCTCCCTTTGTGCTTTTTTCATCTATATCTTCCTAAGCTAAGCAATTGTACTTAAGCATTACTGACCTGTGACCCCACGAAGTGCCTTTGAAGGTTCCTCAAGTATTGAGATCTTTTTCTCATGAGGGTTAAGGGCTGGTTTCTCGTTGGTAGAATCCATGGAGGAGCTGTCCTTCTCGCAGCCATTCATGGGCCCATTTTGAATCTGCGGTGGCTGTGGCTGCAGGGGCCCTGCCTCAGGCCTCTCCACTTTGTCTTTAGCATCTTTGTTGCATTGATGCTGCTTGGACTTGCTTCTTTTTCTTTTATTGTTCTAGAATGAGAAACAAATGAGAAAATAATATTCAGCTCAGACTCTTGAAATATAAGGTGAATCTGAGAGGTGAAAATTAGATAATTATCTTTTTTGGTTCCTGGCTCTTCTAATAGACTGGATGAATAATATTTATACCTTTATTAACCACCCAAATTAATTTAAATATCCTCTTTCTTACAGTAAGTTGTATAAACTTTCACCTTATAAACACAATAAACATGAAGTTTCCAATAAAAGGAAGAAAAAGCCAACAGGAATGGTTTAAATAGCTGATTAAATATTTAGCAACTTGAGGCTCTATAATAAAATCTTGTGATAACTGTCCTGAAAAAACTTGATTTCAGTTATCCTGCCATTGGGGAGTAGCTCTCATCTCAAAGTGGTGAATGCTGGGGAGGCAAGGAGGATACTAAGGTTCGTATCTGCTGAGGAGAAGGAGAGGTAAAGGGGAGACCTGCTAGGGAAAAGGCAGGCAACTTGTTCTTGTAAAATGAGGGCACAGAAGGTAGGTTGTTAATGTCCAGGTTGGGTCTCTGAAATAGAAACCAATCAACCAGGAGATTACTGGAATTGCTGCCATTGTCTAGGAAGCCTCAGGCAGCCACAGGATACATAAGCATCCCCATCACTTTTTTTTTTTCACAAAGTCTCACTCTGGCTCTATCACCCAGGCTGGAATTCAGTGGCATGATCACAGCTCACTGCAGCTTCAACCTTCTGAGCGTAAGTGATCCTCGCACCTCAGCCTCCTGAGTAGCTGTTACTAAGGCATGCACCACCACATGCAGCATTTAAAAAATTTTTTTGTAGATACAGAGTCTCCCTATATTGCTCAGGCTGGTCTCCAACTTCTGGGCTCAAGTGATTCTCCTACTTCTGGCTCCCAAACTGTTGGGATTGCAGGCATGAGCTACCTGCCCTGCCATCCTCATGAACATTTCACCTTGAGCAGACAACAGCTTCAAGGTTTTGGCAAACTGATATAAGTCCCCCATTTTTTGGTGTGAAAGCCCCCAGACCTCTCGGTAACAGCATTACAAGGCTTCATTTAATTTACTTTGAAATAACACTACCCTGAATTTTATACAACTGAAATTTTTTAGATCCGTAATATCACAGGAGTCTAAAATGCAGAGTTTTACTATATCTCTCCTAAAATGCCCTAATGGTGAATACATAGGAATATCAAGAAAATTAAGAAGATGTTGTCCCTAATTATGTTGTACGCTTGACTTGACGTTGTTTTGTACCCAGTTCATATTCAATGTACTTAACAAGCAGTATGGTACCAGCCCCGGCCAATCGGAACAGACAGCTGATCCATAAGGAAGGCCCTGTCCCACCTCCTGAATGAGTGAGTGCCAGCTGAACATCAGCCTGTCTTCATTCCTCAACACGTTTAGAAAAGAAGTAAAAAGTAACTGTTTTCTCTTCTCAATTCTCCTCCTTGCTCTCTTTTCCTTTGGAACCACAATCATGCCCTGGTAAGTGCTCTCCTAGGTGACAGGTGTGTCCCAGGTTGAAATATAGGCCAGTAGGACTTATTCCCCCGCAAACACCCGCAGCAGCTTCTGGCTCTTAAGCCTCACATCTCCTTTTCCTTTTCAACCTCCAGGAGGGGGACTCAGTAATGAGTTGGGTCTGCAGCTGCTGTCTGCTCTTTTTTTCACTTCAGAAAAATCTAATACCCGAACCACACTTTTGAAATTTTTCTATGTAAGTCTAAATACTGCCTTTCAATCACTTGCAAATCATGTTCATCTTACACAGAGGCCTGAGAAGCTATGATTAAAGATAAGCAGAGATTGTCAAAGATGGTGGCATACAAAGGTTAAAAAAAAAATCTCATAATTTTCCTATTCTACATGAAACTAGGAGGAGAAAAAACAGGAAAGGATGATTCCTGTAATTTTAGTAATCTTCGGGTTTTATGAAAGTAATACTGTGTTATTGTTTGTTCAGAACCTGTTTTGCAGGCCTGTGATCTTCTCCCATGGGAAGGGATAGACTGGCATACTATACCCTGGGAAAAGCAAAACACAGGCCTTGCTGTGCCATAGCAGGAATGAGTGGAACAATTACTTTGAAAGGAGGGCACACTTTTGCTAGTGTGTATGCAGAGACACAGCTCGGGAGCTCCCAGAAATCCCAGGCCCTTTGTGACTCGACAAGAAAGCAAATCAATTTGAATGGGACACAGTAAAATCCCCTTCCCTTTGTTCTCAAAGAGTAATACGCCAGTGTTCAAGAAGGCCCCTTACTTACTATGGTTCTAAGGCATTTTCTTTTCTTCTTCTTTTATTAATGATCTACCTTAGAATTCAGCCAAAAAAGCATCTCAGAGCAGCCTTAGACAGATTCTTTCAGGTGGAAAAACATGTGAAAATATATTTAGAGTTTTTCAAGTATCTTTAAAACACTCCTTAATTTTTTTCTTTGTGCTACAGGATGTGTTCATGCAAGTTAATGTTTTGAATCCTTTGAATTCTCCAGCTGGGCTACCGTTTATACTTAAAAAAGAAAACAACTCTGGGACTTCTTAAGCACACCTGGTCATTAAAAACACTGAGCAGAAAATAAAGGCATTAGTAGTGAGAGTATCTGGTAATTTATGAGAGTCATGAATTTGGAAGTTTTCTGGGTGTATATTAACATATTTGAAAGAAGCATAAAATTGGCAGCCTTGTTAAAATGATAACAACCATGAAGGTTTTGATTGAAGATGTTACCAATTTACAAGCAATATTAATCTTACCTTCTTTTTTCCTGTCATATTCCATTCTTTTAGAACTTGAATTGCACTGCCTAGATAAAGACAAAGAATCTTCAACAAATATTCACATCATGAAACACCACCCAAAATTCACCTCTGTCTTTCCATCTTGGTAGCAGTTATTTTTTAATTTTTTTTTTTTGCTTTTCATTTGTTTTGATACATCCTATCTTAATAAAAATGCCAGTTTCATCTTTTATTTCCCAGATTTTCACTTAATTTACTGTATGATCTTGGTTTTATCAAAATATTAAGCCTCACTACATGAAGCTTACTTTTTTATCATTATATTATCTTAGGGAAAATGAAATATATCTTGAGAATTTTCCAGCAGCTTTGTTGCCATAGGTAGAATTAAAATTATTCTGTTTGATATATGAATAAAAATACCTATAATCTTCTGAACCAAATATGAGATTCTGAGTATTATTAACAATGTGAATCACAGCTTTCTGTTTGGCCATTTCTTCACTTTTTCCTTCCCTACTCATATGTTCACATTTGGCAGGGGGATGAGGAAGACATATTATAATATTAGTTTCTCTAGAGTTAGCATGGATAGGGATGGGATGTGGTCTTTATAGGGCTTCTACCTTGAAACCAAAAAAAGTTCATTACGTGAAAAGTTGGGCCCCAGGTTCTGTCCATCCCATTCACACATATAGATGGAACTGTACTGACTCAGAGAAGATACCTAATTAAATTATATTAACTCATATATAAATTAAATGCCTAATTAAATTACAAGACATTAAAAAATGTTTTATTGCTGACCAGCTGCAATCCACGTTTCTGCATAGTTTAACGAAGTTCATTCATTCATTCCAATTGTGCTGAAGGTAAGTTCAATAACAAATTATTAGTAATGAGGATACCAGCTGTTTTCAAATAGGCACAGCATTTCTAAAAGAGGACAGCTCTTTTAAACGTATTCTTTTAACAATTTTAAGCATTCTCATATAATCTGAATATACTAATAGATCTCTACAAGGAGTATGTTGGCTAAACAAAGATCAATTTCAGGCTGGTCTTTGTAATAAATTTCAAATTAGTAGGGTCCCAATTATTGAGTCTACTGTCACTGTTAGACAAGCAGAAGGCCATATGGCTTTGACTAATGTTTAGACAGGCTAATTATTCCTATCTATTTAAAGTTTCCAATTCAATGACCCTCTTAGACTTGTCTGAGTTGCATGCACTTGAAATAATAAGTCTGCACCTAAAAGTACGCTATAATTCAGACTTTTTATTAACTGGGTGGTCTTTCTCTAATTTGTCCAGAGAATTAATGTTTCACAGCATTTTCCTTTTGAAGATATTTAGAAAGTCCCTTTCATTAGGTTTCTTGGTAAGTCCTGGTTAATAATAATAAGGGCAGTTCTTATAGCTATGCTTCAGTTTTCTAAATAAAACTAAAATTTAAAAATGCTAAATACTCATCATTTTAATCGGAAAATGGTGGTGAGTTGCTTACTGCTTTCACAACTGCCATATTTAATTAGTCCTCTAATTTTCATGTTTTGATATACATTCTATTTGTAATTTGGACAATGAGCTTTAGAGACTAATTCTGAAGAAGAAATACGCATAATTAGAGGATTTTGAAACTGTTATTATTAAGTTTTAATTATCCTGAAACTGCTTGGAGTTTTTCAGCCACTCAGATTGCTTTCTGTATGCCTCATAAATGACTCCTAATAAATATTTTTGACGCTCAGTCTTTTTTTTTGGAGTGGAGTGCAGTGGTGCAAACATGGTTCACTGTAGCCTTGACTTCACAGGTTCACCTGATCCTCCTGCCTCAGCCTCCAGAGTAGCTGGGACTACAGGCATGTGTCACCACTCTAGGCTAATTAAAAAAAAAAAAAAACTGTAGCAACAGTATCTCGTCATATTGTCCAGGCTGGTCTCAAACTCCTGGCAATCCTTCTGCCTTGACCTTCCAAAGTGCTGGGGTTACAGGCATGAGTCACCTGCCTGGCACCCAGTGGTTTTAAAACAAGTTTTCCTACTGCTCCCCAACCAAAATGACTTCCCATGAGGCTTCTCAGCAATCAATGAGTTTTATTAATGAGATCTCAACACTGAGAAGGTGAAAATTTCAAGAAGGACAAGCAAGGTGCTCTGTTTAAATACAAACAGATTTGATGACAGTACATCAGTTACTGCGCATCTGTGCATCTCAACAAGATCACTCAGCAATAAAAACTTTCATGATAAGGAATATGGTGGGCCTCAGTCCAAGTAGGGGTAGGGAAGAATGGGGAAAATCGCCTTTTTCCTTCCCTAAAGCTTTTTTTTTTCCATGCCAGTGATGTTGGCAAGTAAAACCTGAAAAGAGAAAGTATCTGACCCAGGATGTGCTTATTTCCCAGTACGTTTTGAGACAAACTGCACCAAATGCTGCAAAGTCAGATTAATACTGCATTCTCTACTATTTGCTTCTTGTGACTAAAAATTATATATCTGTTAGTATATGCACCAGGGAAAAATAGTGAGGAAAGTTATGCACCATGGATTTGCTTATAGGTCTACTGAATGATAATCATTTGCTAATTCAATTAGGACCTTGCACCTTGACTGCTGATATCAGAATGTGAGCATATTGCTTGGTTCCAAGACCTTGCCCTGAAATGCAATTATACTTTTAGAAACTCAGGAAGGTTACTCTACTCCTAGGAAAATAAGTAAATCAAACTGTCCTTGACAAACTGTAAATAGGATACAACTGAGAAATGTGCTGGCAGGTCTTCCTTGACATTATTTGACAGATTATGTGTAGCTTGCCCATATTTACAAAATAGAAACTAATACCAGGACAGAAGACATATGATAACTAAGGATAAGCAAGAGATCTTTGTTCAAAACTGGAACTTGTTTAATTTGATTAGGAGAGGAGAATTTCCCCATAATTTACGGAAATCTAAAGCATTATGTTGTAACTTTATAGGATAAACATATTTCTGAGACTTTAGATTTTGTAACATCTCTGGAAATGGACTACCTAAAAAACAATTTCTTTTAAAGAAAGCAAAAAGATTTTAGAGGCGGATAAGATGAGCTGATATTGCAATTAATTTGGCAATCTAAAAATCACAAACTAAAGACATTAAAGAATAAACCAGTCCTCTTAGACTATATAAGCATCAAGTTTAATAATCCCAGTCATAAAGCCAAGTAGAATTATGCTGGTTGGAGAAGCTTTCCAGATAAGGACCAAAATGCATTATCCTCCATTTATAAGAATGACATCACATAAAGAACACATTTCTTTATTTCTTTATCTATTGAGACAGGGTCTCACTCTTGTCCAGGCTGGAGTGCAGTGGCGCCATCTCGGCTCACTGCAACCTCTGCCTCCTGGGCTCAAGCCATCTTCCCACCTCAGCCTCTGAGAAGTGGGACTATAGGCATGCACTACCATGCCTGGCTAATTTTTTTATTTTTTATAGAGACCGGGTTTTGCCATGTTTCCCAGGTTGGTCTTGAACTTCCGGTCTCAAGTAGTCGGCCCACCTTGGCCTCCCAAAGTGCTGGGACTACACGCATGAGTCACTGCTGGCCAAGGACACATTTAATATCAAATTGGAATGACGGGTAGGCAAGGAAATTAGCAGCACTATAATCAATATCCTTGAAAACTAGACTCATTTTTTCCTTAAAGAGAGAAAAATAACTTTTTATTCTATTCTTATTGAGTATGTTTATATGTTTTTAAAATCTAGCACCTTTTTTTTTGAGACAGAGTCTAACTCTGTCACCTAGGCTAGAGTGCAGTGGTGTGATCATGTGAAGCCTAGCACATTTTTATGAGACCTAAAGTACTCATAATGAATTGACAGTTCATTTAAGGAAAAAAATATGGACTATCTGGAATATTTAGTTCTAACATCTTCAGCTCCAGGACACAGGTATACCTACCATCCACAAAGGCTTGCACGGCTTTATCCACATTAAAATCAAACTGTTGTAGCACCAGGACTATTTCATTATTGCTTTTGTTGGGAACAACTGATCTAACTGCATAGATCTGTAAAGGAAAAAAAAAAGAAATAGAAAGGTGAACACTTTAAATATTTTTTATCTATGATTTGCCCACTGGATAGAATTATAACTATTAGAAAGGCCTCAAAAAGCCAACTTATCTACCTTCTTGCCATCAAGCATAATCAAGGCATTCCAGACCAGTGAACATTCATCCTGGTAATCGCCTTGATACCCACTTTATTTGTGTACACATTTTTACAAAGATCTTCTTGTAGAAGTGTAGGAGCATGTGTGAAAAGCCAACTCTGGTTTTGCAATCTACCCTCCCCCAAGACTACAGATGCATACAAGATGTGTTCTCAGTGAGGACACAGAGTCTTTTTCTGTCTCAGGCTTCCTTTCCACTGGCTCAGGGGGTTCTTTAGAAAATGTACAGAAATAGCCTCATGCCTCAGCTTCTCTATCTGCACAGTGGAAACAGTCATCTTGAGGGTCACAGAAATGTGCTGTGAAATTCCATTAATGTTTAAAGATACAAAAAATGTGGAGCATTGTATTTTTGAAATGGTAATCTTAGCTACAGTCCAAAAAATGTTCTTGAACACACTTCTGAAAATCAAACATTGAAAACAGTAAAAGTAAATACATATATGCACAAGGATTTCAATAGGTTAAAGCTTATATTCAATGTTTAATGACATATATATCTTGCTTAGTCAAATTTAGCATATATTCTTTCTTCTTGACTATTAGAATTGACCTTTATCTCACAGTACTTGTATAACTACAGAATGTTCTATTGATTTTAGTAAAACCAGGTTCACCCAGTTTTCTATCACAAGGATTACTGCAGCTGCTACTGACAAATACTAGAGTATTGCATTGTCCAAAGGTAAGTGATTATTAAAGCACTGTACAATCTTCAGATGTTTTCAACAGCAGTTAAATTATGACCAGTTGGTTTTAGAGTTAAATGCAGGTTAGTACAATTGGATTCATGGAATATGGATTATATGGGTATGGCAAGCGTAATGTGATGCTACTGACATGAACATTTAATTGAACAGGATAGCCTATTTCCTGATTATGTTAGAAAACAGACCACCTATTCCACACAGATCTACAGTAAGACTATTTAGGTTGTAATGAGACAACAGCACAAGCTACTGTCATGTACTCACCCAGCACAAGCTAGGGGTGGGTATATGACTGTAAAGGTGCTGACACTATAGATTAGAAAGCTGGTTTTGAATCTTGACATTTTATAAATGCTAAATATTTGAGTTTTACTAAGGACTCTAATATTATATATATATATTTGTATGTGTGTGACTCAAGATTTCTTGATTATTTTCTATTCTCACATTTTATGGTTCTTAGTTTTTCTAGCATCCATTGAAAAAAAATTAACTTCTTCAAATCTAAGCTGTTTCTCACTTTTTCTGTCTTCTTTAAAAATTCAATTCTGTGAGTATTTTTTGAATACCTATTATGTGATAAGCCATCAGACTTCCTGGAACTTAGAGACGGGAAGATGATTTGCACATTGACCAAATGATTGCATAAATATATGCTTATACATTCCATGTAAGTGGTATAAAATCACATGACAGGGAGACTTGACTTTATATGATTTTATCCACTGAGACCTGGATGGAGGATGAGTGAGAAGAGATGGATGGGAAGGGAAGGGAAAACATTTTGCCATAGAGAACAGCATGAGTGAGGAGCGAGGCACGGATGATGAGGGAGGAGCTGGAGGTGATTAGGAAGGGAGGCAGAGGTTCGGCTTCTAGAGTACAAGACGAAGCCCGAACTGGGCTGGGACCAGATTGCACAGGGCCTACATGGCTATACAAAGGATTTTTATTCTTAGGAGCATCCCTCAACTATCTTTTTGTTGATTTTTTTTTTTTTTAAGAGAGAAAGGCCAAGATGGGGAGAAAAACAAAAACAAAAAATCCTCCATCCAGCCCAGAAAGGTCACTAACAGAATGTGTCCAACAACACACAATATCTGGCTCATTGTTACTAGCACACTGGAGTTATGCCTAAAGATTGTGTTACCCTTCCAGTATAGCTCTTTTAAATAAAATCTAGCATTTATTTGAAGCCACTATGGCTTAGTTCATATTATAAAATTTCTTAATAATCACCATCATTATTACCACATCAGGCACACCTAAATAATATAATACAAATTATATTAACTACATTATAGTTACATTAGGCAAAGGTTTTCAATCCACCTACACAGCTATGTAAACTGTAAAGACCCAGAATTATGGGATAAACATAAAATAATGTCTTTCTCTGCCTCCAATCTCTCCCCTGCAAAACACAAGGTTGTATTATGTTAAAGCAAAACACGAAATAAGCCACTACTTGTAGAGATGCTTCCTTTTTAGATGTTGATACTACTCTTGCCTATCCTCTTTCAAAAAAAAAAAACAAAAACCATGGTCAGATGTGCACAGAAAACATTATCTATCCATGTCATTTTGTGTATTCTAGCACTGACTGTATCTTTAGGAAATTGACAATAACTGAGTTTTGATATCAAATCTAACTGAATATTGTATACAATTCCTGGAGGAAGACACTTAATTAGGACAGGTATTCCAAGTTTTACAGATAAAAGGGGAAAAATAGTTTCTGCTTATACTTGGGTATTACATATTAATGTTTAATTCTACTAAATTTCTGGGCCAACCCCTGTTTCTGCTCTAATCGCGTGGCTTGGGTAATGTGGAGAGAGCAGCATTATCAGCCTGCTATTTATAAATCCACTATGTTTATTTTCCTATGGAAATGTCTCTGAGAAAGATGGAGAAGTTGTGTGAACTCACATGTGCACATAAAAATAAAGGAACCTCGCTGTGTCACTACTCATAATTCAGGGGTATTAAAAAGGGTTTAAGCATTTTAATCTAAAAAAAAAAAAAGCCCTCATTATGAAGAGCTTTAATTGTAAGGTGTGGATGACCAAGGAAGAGTTATAGTGAGGTTGTGCTGAAAGGCTTGCCTTTGCAGTTGGAAACCAGGCTTCTGAGGACGGATGCTCCTGGAGGAATGGATCAATCAAAGCGTGACTAATGGTAGTTTGCATACGGAGAACTCATCAAATTCACGCCCGCAGCGGCTGTTTTGCAGAGGCTGTTTCTGGCGCAGCTTCACACACACAGCCTTTTACTTCATTGCCACAGCACAGGCTAACACGTAAGCCACTGTTTGAAGCTGCACTTGACTGCACCCCTAAAGGGCTCTCATGCCATAAGCAAAGTGGTCCTACCAGGCAGCCGCTGTTGGGTGACAGTCAAGATGGCTAGTTAGCGGTTCATTTAGCAACTGCTTTACCTTCCCAAAGTTATGTTCTCCTATTTCACTTCTACTAATTTCACTATGGTTTGGCAAAGTCAATGTGCTATCGAGAAATAGCATGATGTTTCGATGCTACCTCTTGAGCATTTTAATCATGATCCTCTCCTCTCTCTGGGCCTTCCCTATATGGCTCTGCAGGCTCTGCCCCACTGTGCCTCAAGCCTGCCCTGCTGGCCTTTTGCATGCACTAACTGGGCAGCGAGGCAGTGTGACTTTCATGGATGTTGTTTGGTTTCAGTTTCCCAAACCAACTTACCTCCCCTGTACCTGAGCTGTCTGATTAAGAGCTGTTAACAGTTTTCCTCATTCATACTGTGCATCTTTTGAGCCTGTAATGACCCTTGGAAATTCTTCTTGGCTTCCTGATGAGTCACTTAAACTATGTCTGAGTTTCAAAAGTGGCTCTGACCTAAGTTTTCAATCCACCCACACAGCTGTGTGATCAGCAAAGACCTGGCATTATCAAATAAACATAAAATAACTGCTTTCTCTGCTTCCAGTCTCTCCCCTGCAATTCAGTCCCAGGCGGCTGTTCTTCCTGAAGTATATTCGTGACCATTTTACCCTCTTCCCTAAGAACTTAAGAATAAATTTAAATATCTGCAACCTGGCATTTAAGGCCAGCAACAATTGGGCTCTAACTTGCTTTTTAAATGTCTCTGACTTTACCCCTTCACAGAGAAGCTCCCCATGCCCAGTTTGGAACCCCAAACCCTAGGCTGGGCTTTTCTAAGATGTGTCTGAATTTCACATTCCAGGCGAAATGCCATGTGTCCCATGAAATTCTTCTCCATCCTCCCTGCCAGAGGTCATCTTTGCCTCAACCTCTATAGCCCTTGGACAGCAAGAGTCTTTTAACACTTAGCCCCTTTTCCTTTATAGCTCAAGTATTTGTGTATGTGTCGTGTCTCCCAGATGGCAGGCAACGTGAGGGCAGAATCCTCATCTTGGCCATTTTTGGATAATCACCATGCCCATTCACAAACGGCTAATATGGTGCATGTAGTAGGTATTTAATACATATTTGTTGAGTGAGAGAATGCCAACTTGTGCTATACCAGGTGGCTGCTCTGAGTCAAAGAAAGACCACCAGCATGCGTGAACCATCCCAGCACTCGGCATCTGCCACCCATGGTAACAGTGGGCAGGTCTCATTTGACTGATATCATTAAGATTTATATGGGTAGGGAGAACATATATATGTTCTTTGAATTTCAGTAACAGAGACTGGAGGAATATTTATGAGACTTCAACATTCTTACAATTTTACTTCTGTAGAATAAGGTACTTATGGCATTTTGTGGAGTTTTAAAAATATGAAAAGGCACAGTAACTGCCTTTTCAGTAACTGCCTGTCTATCGTTCCAAGACTCAGCTCAGCAGACAGACACTGGCTGAGCCCCCAATACATGACAGGCACTGAGGATACAAAGAAAAACCAGACATAGTTCCACTGTAAGGAGGCACAATCTAGCAGTGAAGCCAGAAATATCTACAATAAAAGTAGGTAATAAGTGCTGTACTGTCTTTATGAACAGGGTACTGTGGTGCTACAGAGAAGGAATTAAGTTTGCCCAAGTAAGGGAGAGTACTTCATAGAGAGCCACATGTCATGGAAGAAGCACTGGAATTAGATAGACCTATGCTCTAATCTTGGCTCTG